TGACAGAGCCTGTTGATGCTAACAAGAACAACAGGTAAATATACAAGCCTGTTGATGCTAACAAGACCAACAGGTAAATATACAGTAGTCATGTCACAAATATCTATCTATCTATCTATCTATCTATCTATCTATCTATCTATCTATCTATCTATCTATCTATCTATGTCATCCAGTTGCTTTGTCAAATATTCGATCAGTTTGAGGGGATTTTTATTCCACATTTTAGTTGGATCAAAACCCTTGGCTTTCATAATTCCAAGGATTTTGTTCCAGTCTGGTTAAAACCTAATGTTAGTTCTAATTTCAAATGAGTTTAATTTTTATGAGTTAAAAAATCAGAACAAATTAAACAAAGCACAGCTCAACTTTATATATATAAACTGCCAAATGTTTATATATATAAAAGTCAAATCTGTTGGAGGCGGCTGAGAGTCCTGTCTGAACATGTGCTTATGATTATCACCATTTTTTTGGATTCACCCTCCTTTCTGCTTTCCAGTTTTCCAGGTCAACAGTCTGTCGTCATCATTTCTGTGACTGTGTTGTGAAGCTTGACAAATATTTCTGAACCTTCACCTCCTTTTCTGGCAAAGTCAGGGCCTTTAGTTGACGCTCCTTTAATATCAAATACCTCCAATTAAAATCTGACACAGAATAAGGAATATTTGATGTTTCTGTCAAATCACAGATTTTAGCTGTCATTATATTTTTTTAACCTTTTGGCTTACAGCTTGAGAGGAGATCAAAAATGTTGATGGAACAGGGGAGATATTAGGCAGAGAAAAGGATGAGGAGGAAGAAGAGGAGAACAGGGAGGAGGGAGCTGTGTCAGATTGAGGCCCAGCAGGATGAGGGCAGGTGCTGGAAAAGAGCCAGACTCCAGCAGAGACACAAGGACACTGGCCCACTGCAGTGTTCTGCTAGGCTACAGCTCACCTAAACTGATAACCTCTCTCTCTCTCTCTCTCAGACACACACACACACACACACTGCACAAGCCGTTTCTCTAACTTTGAAGTCTCCAGAACACCAGCCCATGGTCATACACATACATTCGCCTCGTCAGTAGCTTCAGCATCTCGACAATTAGGAGAAAAAATCAAATCAAATCAAAGCGTCTCTGCTCCATCAGATTCTCTGCTGCCGAGTGAGTCACTGAGTCACACAGCTGTCACACCGTTCGCAGGGATGCCCTCACTTTTACTGCATTGTAACAATGTGCCACTCTGTACATGGAGTACAAGCAGAGTGAGTGAGTGAAATTGAAGTCAAGGTAAGAGGCTGCAGCAGGAACACTGAGTAATAATACACCAAGGTCAGAGCGGGAATAAGATATGAGGAGGAGAGGACAAAAATAAAACATGTGGCACTAAGTCCTTTTTCATGCACAGTAAAGTGTGTGTAGAGGTCGGAGGGTGGGGGGCTGGTTTCCTGTGTATCTACAGTGACTTCAAGCATGTGTTTACATACTTGAATATATATATATATATATATATAGACTGATTCTTCTGATTATCTTATATATTTGATTGCTAATGTATTCAATTCCTCATCCATTGGATTTCATATTGATGTAATTCCTTATTTCTCCTATTTCATTATTGAATCGTACAATCGGGATGACCCATAGGTGGCGCTAACATTAACATAGAACAAGCGTGAGTTACTTGGAACACTCTGAACTAACGTATAGGCCTGTGTGTGACATCATCACCATGATATCATCAGAACTACAAAAGTACCACTGAAGTAGAGACTTGGTCCTGGTACTCGGCACCTTTGGAGTATTCACTATAAAAACCTGTGTTTGCTGAAGGTGAACGTCATTTTAACTGTGACATCACACAGTGTTTCTGTGACTTTGCAGTGCTGAGGTCACTGAAAACAGATACCATAATAAATAAAAAAAAACAAACCAATCATCCTCAGACTGCAGACCCATCTGTGGCAGGTGAGGCTGCCGAGGGTGAGGTCAACGCCAACCCACAGAACACCTGAGGGATCGGACTCCTGTCACGAGGTCCTGACAGGACACCAGAGCCTCCTGCCTTTCACTTCATTTTGCTGTGTCAGGCCAGATTGAGATCACGAGACTCTTCCAAGTTCAAACCCCCTCCCAGCTCCATGCTGTGCAGAGAAACCCAGAGTCAGCATCAGTGCAGTAGATGCCTTATCTCCTGTGTTCAGCCTCATTCGGCTGCTGCCGTCACACGTTCCGTGGCCAGAGTGGGAGGAGTTCAGGTAGTGACGTCACACGCCATAATGTCTCTGGCGCTACTGAGATATTTTAAGTAAAGTTGCAGCATGATGACAAAGCACTTCAGACGCCCCCCCCCCGTAGTCCGCTGCACCGGTAAACGGTGAATTAAAGAGTAGAACCGTGTGGATTATCACGCACCTTGTTCCACGTCGTTTCACACCTGAGACGTGTTGACAGACAGCTGCCACGGCCGCTGAAGGAGGGGAGATTTCACTCTCAGCAGTCAGCGCGTCTGCCGTCAGGGGGAGGGGTAGAGGGGGGGCGTTTCTGTGTCTCCCTGGAAGCGATGAACACCGAGTTCTGATGCAGAGAAGTGAACTTTATGAACAGCCTCCAGAGCGGAAGGATGAATGGAACCCAGGGAAATAATGGCAAATACGTCTCGTGGCCTATTTTGGCAGCGCTGAGTTACAGTTTGGGGGCAAACGCTTTGAAATACCATCAGATAAGGGGGGCGGCACTGGGTGCTGCAGCTGCTGCCGCGTCTCCTCACGGGTGTGTGTTGAATTTGCTTCGGTTCATACACACACAGTCCTCATATTGGCTTCTAGAGGTGGCTGCTCTGGCACCGTGGACGCAGTGACGGAGCCAGAGGGGAAGCCTGGAGTCTCCTCTCTGCTCCGCCACAGCTGAGCCCAGTCCTGGACGTGTTTCCTCTCTTCAGCATGAAATGGTACTGAAACAGAGGAGCACATGTCGCCGCCCCCACGCATCCCCCTCCCCATTCCCCTAACCCCTGCGTACGATTGTGTGAGAATGTGTGTGTCTCACATGTGAATTTCTTTAAGTGTCTCCGCTGTGCCTCAGAGCAGCAGTGTGTGTGGACCATCTCTCCGCTGCTTCCTGTTCTCTGATGACCAGCAGGGTGCAGTCAGGCGAACCAGCTGTGAGGCTGCCCATTGATACACACATGAGCCGCTTCACACGCCTGAATGGACGTGTGTGTGTGTTTTATTCAGCATTTTACCCTGCATTTCTGATGACCGGTTGAAATGTATTAAATAAATGATCGAAAAGTCATGAAAGTCTGATGTAACAAACATGACCACATCTTCTAAAAAACAATGCTTAATTTCTCATAGGAGTTGAGGGAAGAACATGGAGACATGGAGACAGTGTAACGGGCACCGGAGGCCAAGGTCTCCTGCCCTCTCTCTCTCTCTCTGTCTCTCTCTATGTCTCTCTCTCTCTCTGCGTAAACCGCAGCAGAACACGCTGATCTCCAGGTGTCCCCTACCTGCGCGGCAGACAAGCTCTGCAGCAGATGATTAACGGCGTCGACTAAGCGTGAGCTATGATTTCATTTTCCCTAGTGTAAAAATACATTGAAGAAGGACTTTAATTCCGCCGGAGGAGACGAGGGGGAAACGGGAGCTCAGCAGTTCTGTTGGCACAGCACCTGGAGCTAAAACTAAAACTTTATACGTCAGACTGGAAGAAGAAAAGAAAAACACTCAGCAAGAGAAAATAAAATGTACATCTCAATCTAACGATGGTTTACTTTTAGGACAAGCTGTATATGTAACTCGTAAGTATTACGTTGTATTCTGTACTTCACTAATTAAAATCCGAATCTTTAATGTCGTCATACCAAGTACAATTAAGACATTTGTGGATTTAAAGAGTACTACAATTAGTACCATTACTATTTTAGAAGAATAAAGTGAGCAATAAAGCAATAAATTGTCTTAATATTGCAAGGCGCGTTGTTTAATATTTTACAGCTGAAAACCATTAATTGGACCGGGTGTGATTTATTTGTAAATGTATTTCTTACAACATCACTGAAATATTTGCTGTTCCCTCGTATTACGGTATAAATAATTAATCTGCACAAATGGAAAATAAAAGCTGCTCCAAACTCATATACTCTAGTCATTCATCATGCCTTAAGGGTAATAGCTAAAAGATTCCACTAGAGGACAGCACTGAGCTATTTTTGGTCCGTTGTCAAAGTGTGAATTGAACAGCACAGTGCCACATTATGTTATGACGTCACAGACGTTAACGAACCTTACCTGTTCTTTAGTATGATTCGGTTTTAATTATCCCTGATATCAATATAATAATGACATATTATTATTATTATTATTATTATTATTATTATTATTATTATTATTATTATTATTATTATTCAAACAGTGGAACATAGAACCGACTACAATATTGTTTAGTAGTGTTGCCTTACAGTAAGAAGGTCACCAGTTCGAACCCTGGTGAATTCCTCTCCCTGTGTTTTCATGTGCTTCCTTCAGGCTCCTGCCCAATCACTGCTGGGATGGACTCCAACTCCACCTGAAAAGTATAAAAAGTTTAAAAAGGTGAAAGGAATAAACAAACAAACAAAACAGTTTAGTCAAGAATATTGTTTTAGTAAAGAATGTGGACAAAATAGGTTGATTCTGTCTGATTCACCCAAAATGATTTGTGTAATAACACCTCATTTGAGGTCACTGTCAAATGAATATATATATATATATATANATAATTGCTTTCATCAGTTAACTGTATAGAGTCTGAATAATTGATGGTCAGATGACAAGATGACTGGTCATCTAAAAGACAAACAACCATCTGCTGCTGCTGCTGCAGATCTCTGTCTGTCTCCCTTTTATAAATGTACTAACATGCGACACAGCCTTTCAATTATTTTTCATCCCGATCCTTTGAAGGTATTTTTTCCACGTGCTTGTTTGCTTCTTTGTTTGTTTGTTAGTGGCTGCCACTTTGTACTACAAGGCACACATGCAAGTGTTCACACGAGGGGATGAAAGCAGCTGACGTCAGGGCCCAGTTGACATGCCAACTCCAGAGAAAGGAGCTCACATCTGAAAAACAAAGACGCCACGGTGCTTTTAGTTAAAAAGAAAAGACAAAAGGCCGGCTGCACTAACACGATGCCTTTTTAATGAGATCCCAGAGATTTAATGAGATGAAAGAGATCCACCAACACACTGCACTGAAGCTGCAGGATTCAGGACCAGGATCACAGACTGACACCGTTCACCCATCCACAGTTGTTTAACTGAAATAAATCAAAATAAATAGTCATAAATGCAAACCTGGAAATAAAAACCTTCACACACACACACCACTTCCTGTCTCACCTTCAAGGACAAAAAGGTGATAGTAAAGGAGATAATGAAGCACAGTTGGAAAGTCTTCCAACAAAATGCCATGGTAACATTAGAGGGGGTTACCCGGGAAACCATTGTCGTCATGGAGACTGCATCACAAGGCGGGATCAGTGTGCAGGGAGGCGGGATACTGTTGCTCTCTTCCTCCTCTTTGTCCATGCTGTTTTCATGCTAGCGTCACGTGATCACACCCAGACACACACACACACACACACACACACACACACACATACTCTGAAAGTAAATCAGAAATACAAAATAATACTATCAACATGGAAGCAAAGCAGATAATGACCTCCTGAGTCCACATTACATCACTTGCCTTTTATTTCATATAGAGGCTATAGGCATGTAGTGAATAAAAATACAAATTTCACCTCATCATTTGTGATAACCATTTCCCTCTATTTTGTCTTCAAATATACCCCAAAAAACAACCTGCACAAGAGTCCAACAGGTTGACTGGTTATGATATCAAGTTGGACTCTGTCCATTGTCTATTTTTCACATTACTGGACAATAACAACTTTTTTCTCTCTCCACAGTTAAGCACGAGACATCATTGTCGACTGATGGCTATAGATGCATTATAGTAGAGTATATGCTACACGTGTATAATCCAGCCATAAACACCAACAACATTCGCATGATAACACCGATATGTAGGCATCAGGTGGCACATCACACTGTTTACAAATGTCTGTTTTTACAAGCAGCATAAATGCACTGCAAACTCATATTTTCATGAAGTGAAATTATTACTTTTTGTAGGTCACATTCAAGCCTTAGAAATAGGAGAGATAACGAATATTCATAAGTTGGAATGTTCAGAAAAAAAGAAGAAATAATCAATACACCAGTTACTTATCAAAACAGACATTTTAGCAGAGATTATGCACAGATATGTACTGACAGACACATTACACTGGGCTATATAAAAATAATATTATTATTATATAACATTATAGCTTTTTCCTGCTGCTCCGTCTGTGATTGGTTTACACGTCCGTGAAGATCTTCTTGATGTTTACACAGTTCTGGTTGTTCTCAGTTGTGTAGTTGGGCTGTTTGAACGCACTGTTGATGCCCTCCTCTATCACCATGTACTCAGACTTGCTGAGGGTCGACGAGCTGCACGACTTCCTCCTCAGCTCCCCAGAGGGGAGGTGCTCACAGCTCCCGGTGCTCACGTACTGTGGCTGCTCCTCTCCGTCAGTCTCCCTGTGGTAGAAGTAGTTGAAGTTGGACACGATGACTGGCACTGGTAAAGCAATGGTTAGCACGCCCGCGATCGCACACAGTGACCCCACAACTTTCCCACCTATGGTCACTGGATGCATGTCCCCGTATCCCACCGTGGTCATGGTGACCACTGCCCACCAGAAGGCATCTGGGATGCTGGTGAAGCTGGATGTGGGGTCGTCTGCTTCTGCAAAGTAAACCGCACTGGAGAAGAGGATAACTCCGATGAACAGGAAGAATATGAGCAAACCCAGCTCCCTCATGCTGGCCTTGAGGGTCTGTCCTAAAATCTGAAGCCCCTTTGAGTGTCGAGAGAGCTTAAATATGCGAAAGACCCTTACCAGTCTGATCACCCTCAGTATGGCGAGGGACATGGCCTGCTGGCCGCCGTTGATCTGCCTCTCAGCCAGCTCTGTGCCCAGAGTGATAAAGTATGGCACTATGGCGACAATGTCAATGATATTCATGATGTTTTTGGAGAAGGAAGTTTTGCTGGGGCAGGCGAAGAATCTCACCAGCAACTCGAAGGAGAACCAGATGATGCACAGAGTCTCTATAACAAAGAAAGGGTCTGTGAAGGGGCTCGGCACACTGGGGGCAGTGCCATTGACCACCGGTGCCACCGTGGACTGTTCTCTCTCATCCCGGAATTCAGGCAGAGTCTCCATGCAGAAGATGACAATAGAAATCAGAATTACCAGCACAGAGACAATGGCAATCCCTCTCGCTGGCCCGGAGCTCTCAGGGTACTCAAACAAAAGCCAAACCTGTTTTTGGAAGTCGTTTTTGGGCAGCACGCGCTCGTCTTCTTTTATAAACCCTTCGTCCTCCCTGAATTTCTCCATGGCCTCCTCCCCCAGCTGATAAAAGCGGATCTCCTCGGAGAAAATGTCAATTGGAACGTTAACAGGTCTCCGTATGCGCCCTCCGGACTGGTAGTAGTACAGGATGGCATCAAAGCTCGGTCTGTTCCTGTCAAAGAAGTACTCGTTTCTCAGCGGGTCAAAGTAACGCATCCTTTTCCGTGGGTCCCCCAGCAGCGTCTCCGGGAACTGGTTAAAAGTTTTCAGTTGCGTCTCGAAGCGTAAACCTGAAATGTTGATCACCACCCGCTCGCAGCATCCCTGGTGTCCGCGTTCATATCGACCCACGGTCAGGTGAGGCGCCGACAGCACGGCGGACTCCTCCAGCATGTTTTCCACCGTCATGACGCCCGACTCCACCTCGGCATCACCCCGTCTGTCGGTGCCGTTGCTGACCCTGTGCCTGACAGACGAGGGCAACTGGATCACGCCGGAGGTCTGCTCATCCATACAGGTGGTTTTCAGTCTGGGTGCCACTGGTGCGCCACGCCTCTCTCACCCAAAGCCTACAGCTTTGGAGAGCTGAGGCCGACGCCACTCACCGTCTCCTCTGAGCATCCCCTCTCCGTGCGTCTCCACACATACTGAAACGCTCCACTCCCCCTGCCTCCTCTTTTTTCCTTTTCAAAACACGTCGACACCCACCCACCGCGCGCATATGTCTAACATACGTCCACCACCCGCCCAATCAGAAATTAAGCTGACACTTAACATCGTGCACGGCGCTTTATTATTAAAACGCGAAGGAACAAAAGCTCTTGGTGAATCACCTGTTTGATCTGGGTCTTGTTATTATTTACAAGTGAGCGCCGGTGTCGAACCCCTGTCACCTTTATCATCTGTGGAGACGGCAACAGATTAAAGTCGGGCTCTTAAATCAGAGCTAACGTGAAGACACGTCTTATTGCTTCTCCTTCACCGTCCAATAATAAAAAAAAAAAAAAAAAAAATGCCAAAATTATTTCCTTATCCGCAACAAATCCTTTTTTGCCGTTGCTGACCCTGTGCCTGACAGACGAGGGCAACTGGATCACGCCGGAGGTCTGCTCATCCATACAGGTGGTTTTCAGTCTGGGTGCCACTGGTGCGCCACGCCTCTCTCACCCAAAGCCTACAGCTTTGGAGAGCTGAGGCCGACGCCACTCACCGTCTCCTCTGAGCATCCCCTCTCCGTGCGTCTCCACACATACTGAAACGCTCCACTCCCCCTGCCTCCTCTTTTTTCCTTTTCAAAACACGTCGACACCCACCCACCGCGCGCATATGTCTAACATACGTCCACCACCCGCCCAATCAGAAATTAAGCTGACACTTAACATCGTGCACGGCGCTTTATTATTAAAACGCGAAGGAACAAAAGCTCTTGGTGAATCACCTGTTTGATCTGGGTCTTGTTATTATTTACAAGTGAGCGCCGGTGTCGAACCCCTGTCACCTTTATCATCTGTGGAGACGGCAACAGATTAAAGTCGGGCTCTTAAATCAGAGCTAACGTGAAGACACGTCTTATTGCTTCTCCTTCACCGTCCAATAATAATAAAATAAAAAAAAAATCAATGCCAGAATTTATTCCTGCTCCGCAACAAAGCCTTTATTGTTTGGACTTTTCCAAAGATCATCAGTCATTGTTTCACTCTCACTGCAAAGAAAACAAAAAGAATCAGCTGAAGAAAACGTCATTTTGGTGGCAAACAATATGACAGGGTTGAGGTGTTGGTGTCACATGGCCACAGTCTGTTGTGTCGGAGCTGAATATTTAATCTCCTGCTCTTTTACTGCGCCTCTTATTTCTTCTTGAAGGCTTATTGCTCTCCATGGTGCTGAAAAACACGCGTGCGTCGCTTTGTAAATCAATGCTCGCTCTTCTCCAGCAGATGAGGCTGCGTTTGTCTGTCAAAATAAGGTGCGTTTACGGATATTGGGAACCCCGAGCCTCGGGATCAGTCACTTCATTTCCACTCCGTCGTGATTCTTCTGATTATACCTGGTTTCACTGTGAAAGTGCCCCAAATCAGTGCTGTTAGTAAGTCACACTGACTGGCAGCAGCAGTGGCGTCTGCGGTTTTAGCTGCACATGTGCACACTCCTTTGTTTTCAACCGCCGTGGGTTCTAATTTCCACATGTGAAACTCGCAGGAAATGCCAAGTCTCTCTTTCCCCTTTTCTAAATATGGCAACTACTAAACTCCTAACACGCTGGTTAAATCCTCTAAAGATTCTAATGACCTCTTTTGAAACTACATGCCTGGAAAAAAAACACCTGAGGCTGTGTTAAATCTTTAAACACAAAGAAAGTGCAGACTCCAGCATTACACCAGGGTGTGAAAAAATATTCAGGAAGGAAGACACAAATCTCATTTAAGCATCATCATGGAGAAACCAAACTGGATATGACACATGACATAACCTCGCATTCATTTTAGTCAAGGACAAGGGGTCGCAACCTATGGTTCCTGGGCCACACATGGCACAAAGAGTGAAATGGTAATGAAATGGACCAAAATTAACCTGACTGTATTTCAAAATCATGCTTGATGCATCAGAGCAGTCTAATAAGTAGATAGCAGAGAGGAAGAAGGTGCGATTTTAATAAAAAGTCAGCTTTCTTACCAACAGCAAAATAACAAAACAGCACAGCACAATCTTGACCTCTGGTCACTGTACGTGAAAAGTGGTTTCTTGCGTCCTGTTTTTAACAAAATAAAAGTAAAATGTCCACAGCCTTTATAAACCAGTGGATTTAAAACTGTGCTCAAAACTACTGCCATCATTTAAATTGTCAAATGCTCTTTTGCTGTTGAAGCTACCAGAGCCCTGGACTTCTTTATACATTAGTCACTTTGGTTCTCTATATTTGCTGCATGGCCAACAACCATTTTAAAGCTACTTCAGCAACACATTTGAAACTATTCAGAGTTAGTGTATGTCAAGGAAATGTGAGTATCTATCACTGTAAAGTATGTAAATGCTTTTGAAAAGAGATATGTGCCTGGATGTCAGTCAGAAACTAACTGAAAGGAGTGTCACAGGGGCTGCAGCCTCCTTTTGGTTCTTTTTTTAAACAAGATTCTATTGAAACCTGCAGAAAGGAGGTCATGCTGTTGTACCCAGCTCTTCAAGTAGTTACATCTTTGTTTTCACAGGAAGTTTTGGTCCGGCTTTCTGTCACCATGGAAACAAAATATCTAGCGATGAGTTGAAGTTGTGTTGGAGAGTTTCATTTTTACTAATTCCTGTTCCATTTTTCCTCATTCCTG